TAGACACACGACACAGGCGACTGGACGACCGATATCGCGTTTTACCGTGGCCAGAAGACTGCACGGTGGTGGTCTGTTTGCACGACGCCCTGTGCGGTGTGTACCTCTAACGCCTGCCCATCTGAGAAGGCGTTCTCTGTGGTGCCGGGAACACCGGAATTGGAGAGACAATGAATGGGGACGAGTACTCTTTACAGATGAGAGCAGATTCAGTCTGAGTAGCGATTCTCATCGCATACTCATCTGGAGAGAGCGGGGCAGCCGCAATCATCCCTCGAACATCATTGAAAGGGACAGGTATGGAGGTAGCGGTGTTCTCGTTTGGGGAGGCATCATGCTTGGTAGTCGTACAGACCTTCACATCTTCGACGCAGGTTCAGTCAACGGGACCCGTTATTGTAACGAGATTCTTCTTCCATACGTGCGTCTTTCTAGAGGCACTATGGGTCGCAGTTCCTTTCATGGACGACAATGCACCATGTCATCGCACAGTAGCTGCCGAACAGCTCTTAGAGAGTGAGGATATTGAACGTATGGATTGGCCGGCACGATCTCCGGATCTCAATCCCATCGAGGCAGACGCTTGGCAGCTCGTACCTTACCACCAGTAACGATTCCGGAGCTTCGATTGGCACTGCAAGACGAATGGGCAGCAATGTCTCAACAACTCATTGACACCCTCATTCTCAGCATGGGCAGACGCTGTGAAACCTGCCTAGCAGTCAGGGGAAAATCATATCCCCTATTAAAGACCGGATGTTTCTTGCTGGACACCCATCACAGGGATGTTTCGGCCTTCAGTCGCATTGCGCTCCATGCTACTTTTTCAAGAAAGCTTCTTTTATCCCTCTGATTTCTCTTTTAGTAAGTGTTGCTTACATTACTCATGTCCTTACGTATTGGGGATCTTACGGTATTAAATGTGTTCATTTGGAAAGCTTTTGTACAAAGTTATATTGAAAAAACCGTCTCATCCTTAATTTTTGCACACCAGTGTAAGTAAAACTGAATACTTAGTTTTAAGTACGACTGAAAGAAAATTTTTCAGCAAATTTCATACTTAAAATTAAGTAAAACTAAATACTTAGTTTTAAGTATGAAATTTGCTGAAACATTTTCTTTCAGTCGTAAAACTGAATACTTGATAAAAGTAATTCTTACTTATTACTTCCTTGTACGAAGTAAAAAGGAAGTATTGTAATCGCGAAAAGTTTCAGGCAGCATATTTCAACGAAAATATCCATTTTGACCGCTATCGAATGCAATTTAACGATGTTTTTGCATGATATCTGTAGGTAAGGACAGAATAAAATACTCTTTTCCTTCAAAAAAATTATAAAACTGCTTTAAAATTAATTCTGAAGAGAATTTTTCGTGGCGTCTGTACGAACGTATGTACGTACGTATCTCGCATAACTGAAAAAACGAGTAGCCTCAGAACGTTGAAAATTTTGTATATAGGACTGCTATAACATGTAAATGTGCAACTCGTATTTTGGTTGCAATCGGCCGCCACCAAACGTATATAAATATATTTATATATATATCCACTCTATTACCCGGTTCAGTGATCTCAGTTTCTTTACTCTTATATGTTTGTAAATTGTACATTTTTTGCTTTAAAATGATTGTATTATGTTGTTTTTATCTTCCGGTTAAGGTTTTTATGCCTTTAGTAAATCTGTGTGCAATATTTTTAGAATTATCAACAATTTTAAAGTTGTCTAAGTGCCGCTAAGCCTTTTTTTTAATGGCGGCCATTCATGTTTACATTTGAAACAGGAGACTAGTGGATTTGGTGCCAAGTCTAGAGAAACTTAGCTTCGCAACAACAAGATAACGCATTCATTTATTATTGCCAATTAAATCATGCTTAATTCTTTCTCTAGAATTTTTCGAGGAAAATAAGTGCTTAAGATTTACTTCGTAATTTTTAATATAGATATTTTGAGTTTTTATGTATTTTTGCCTTCTCGCGAAGTGAGAACTGAATTAATTAAATGAGAAATACTCAATCGTCTGTGAAAAACAGTTTCTTTTTTTTTTTTTTGTTTTGTTTAATTTCTTTTATACATCATTCTAACTTTATTATAGTATTTGAATAGAACATGTGGCAACGATTAGATAATTCTATTCTTTAAATGATATAAATTTTGTGCATTTTGAGTTATAATATGAACGAACTGTTATATAATTATTGGATTATATAACAGTTAACTTAGTTTCCGTTATATAATTATTATATAAGTTAACTGTTATATAATTATTAATACTGTTAAGTGAATCTAGCGCCAAAGTGTCGCTATGGTAAAAAATGCTAGAGTGAATTTTAAAGAATGCATTTATTCTATTGTGGTTTATGCGCTGTCGGCGAAGTAGTTTTAATTCAATCCAATAAGTTTAAATGAAATGCAAGAAAAAATGCGTATAATTTAATATTCCAATACAAGGAAGTCATGTGGTGTAGACATCAGATTTTTTTTTCATTTGTTGAAGTCCAATATCCTCCGTTCGACGAATTCATTCAAGTAAGGCAATTAGGCTATCTGCTGGACCCTCAACCGTCGATGCGTTCTGCTATTGTCGTCCATCCCCATCGTTGTTTTCCACTTGTACGCCGCTTCTTTTTCCCTTGAAAACCTTTTCAACGTTGACCAAAGTCTGGAGCTCCTGGTGGCTTGTGGGATCTAGCCGTCAGGGTTCCTTGCTCTGGTCCGGGAATGCTGACTTGGTCAATCGGTGGAGTCCGCTGGTTGCTGAGGAGTTTCTTCCTCTGGAGAAGTTTTTCGAACGCTCCTTTCGGGCGTAGAATTTGCGTAGGCGTGCGATCAGTGACCTTCTTCCTCGTCATTTGAAATCTGGATCGCTGTTTCCTTAGCTGCATTGCTTTTCCATTAGCCGCTTGCTGAATCTCATATGCGGTCTCCGGCTGCCTCCTTTTCTCACCGAATTGCTACTCTTATGTGCTGGACCCAGTTTTACCGCGATGTTTCCTTTTGGCTCTTCATGCTTGTGTCTTTTAACTTCTATTTCGCCCACTCTGATCTCCTTTTTTTTCTCTTCTAGAACTATTATTTCTAAAGCCGGAGGCCTCTCTCTTGTCCTTGGAGCTGGTGCTTTCCTTCTGCCATAAGTGATTCCTGCAAAATATCTTGAAAGACTATCATATCAGCGTGGTCGTAATAATTTTTAACTTGATCCATGTTGGCAGTACTAATCACCCCGTTATGTCCTTCTAAGTAACAAACAGATCTAAAATTCCTTTGTGTAGCGAATGGCCTTTAAATTTTGGGCAGAATTTTTCAGTTCTATCTCGAGGGGCACAAAACAACGAATGTCTAATCTTTAACACTTTGTCTTCCGAATTTAAGACTGAAATCTTTCCTTTTTTATTATAATATAATTTTCACCTTGCTCTTGCCATGTGTGAATTTATCACCGTCTTGTTAATCAGTTTCTGAACATCTGGGAGTTTAAATTTTACCTCAACAATAACAACAAGAGAAGAACAATTTATCAAAGGGGATAATTATCTTCCTCCCCAAAAATAATTCTGCTAGCGTTTTTTCGGTAATGTCATGTTTGGCTGTTTTAGGGCAAAAGCTAATTCGTTGATGCAGCCATCCCAGCAGCGGTGATAACCTTTAACATAGCTACGAATAATTTTAACTATATGACTGGTCACGCACTGCTCAATTTTTGATCGTGACCGATAAGGCAATATATTTAACTGGCGTAATCCAAGCCCTGCACATAGATGTATTCATTTAGAAAACAGCTGAGGCTCTTGTAAGGTGAGCTATTTCTACCCGCTTCGAAAAATTATAGACAATACCTCTCAAGTATCTGTTTTTATAATGTCACTGTGTGGGTATGAACCTAGAATTCTTATTAATTCATTTGGAAAAGTAGCTTCTATTTATGTGCCCGGTCGGGTTGTAATTTGTATCGTTAACTAGTTGACAAGCATGTCAACATATTCCATAACAAATTTTTGAAGTTGCAGAAAATAAACTGCCTTACGGACTCTTTGCACCGATTTTCTGAAGCCAAAATAGCCTGCTAAGATAGGTATGTCATGTAATTCTCTCAAAATGCTGAGCCTTAAACTGGCTATGATGACAGGTCTTAATTCATTATGCTCATTTGGTTTTTAGTATAAAACAAAATATTGTTAATTATCTCATAATTTGCTGCTCCATTTCTAATAGCCATTAAATCTGGATGTTCAAAATTCTCCAGGTCTTATAAATATGCATAGATGTGGAGGCATATTCTTCGACTACTTCTACTTCTACCCAGCAAGGCATGACGTCATCACAGCTTGCAGAGCGGCAGACGACAATTGGAAGTGCTGAGAAGAAGACGTGCTCCACGCACAGAGGCGGACAGTTTCAAGATGCGAAAGGAATGAAAGAAGGCAGACGGCCTGCAAACCCTCCAAGATGCTTACATCGAGTTAGCCATATTAGGGCAGACGTGCCCGTAGAACTGTTAGACTGATAATGTGTGAAAATGATCATCATTAATCGAATCCTGTTTGAAATCACGTTAGTTGTGAGATTACCTGCAATATTAACTTTTACTTGATTCATTGAGTCCTCTGTACCTTTAAAACATTAACTACTTACAAATATTTAGTCACTTAAACTGTTAATAATTTTAAACTTTAGAAGTATAATGTGAAAACGAAATTTTCATAATAAGCTTTTTGCTTTTTTTATATGTACTGTATCTTGAAGTTAGTCAAATTAACCCCATAATTTAAAATACGAAAAAAAAATTGGAATTATAATACAGATGCATACAAGCATACAACAATTTCATAATTAATGGAATGAACAGATGCACTGAAAAAAGTTCATTCAACGACAAGAGATTTTTATTTTGATCACTCAGTATTTACGTTCCCATTTACTAAAAACTACTAATCCACTAATTCTAAAATCTACGTAGCGAACAAATAAATATATTATTTTAAAATTAATGAAAAACTAAAATTTAATAAATTGCAAATTTATTGTCATATCAATAAAATACATTAAGTCTACTTCTGCGTAATCCTGACAGATAGATTTAATCATGCATAGAAATAAAACAATGATTATACAAATCTGCACAAGGATTTAAAATTATCTAATAAAAAAAAAACTTTTTTCCTGATAAACAACAAAACAATTACAAAAAAGCACTTTATAAATTTTATAACGATCTTTAAACATTTTTCAAAGAAAAATAACACATATTATTATTTAGTGTAAAATGAGTTTGGGGCGATTTAAAATCATTCAGTGCAAAATATTGTAGCGTGGAAGGAATATATTCTTGAGACATCAACCTCAATACAGGTTTTGTTATAACCGGTAGAAATTGGAAGACTTTCATCCCGAAATCCATATTTTTGAATAAGCTTCAGACAGTAAGGATTTTTATCGGGAAATCGAATTTCAATTCCATCAGTTATTTCCGAAAAGTTCACATCGGATAGTACAGAAAACAATAATAATTCTGCAATATCTTCTGAGTCAGCGTAGAATGGGGAAATCATCCAAAATCCTACCACTGTTGGTCTCAAGCATATGTAACCTACGACTTTCTCGTTAATTATTGCGATTTTCGTTTTGCAGGAACGCCAAGATAGAGTCTGTGCAACTATAAAAGACCTATCGTAGCCATGCAACAATCTGTCATAACTTACCACTTCAGTTAGTAAATTTTCAACGGATCTTCCAGATTCCATGGTATCTTTCCTTTCTTGAACTATTATATTTTCAACAGTGTCTAGATAAGAAATTTTGATGTCTCTCAAAGTACACTCAGTTGTGCTTTCTGCAAGATTACTTTTCAGATCCCGAATGTTTGCCACCAGTTCAGGTTTCCCTGGCCATACTCCTTTACCCACCAATGAAACGATTCCAAAGCTATCAAGATTCAGTTTTGGTGATATCAGCGAACTTTCAGAACACTTGTAGTAGCAAATGACATAATCTGGTTGGTGGAGGAAACCGCGTTTATCTCTGTACTCACTGAACATACTCTCCAAGCCTCGAACGCCTATATTTCGATCTTCTAAATGTTTCATGGCCTTATTCCATAACTGTGTCCCGATTCCGCGACCTCTGTATTCTTCTCTCACCATGTAAAGTCCCATAAAACCACGACCTGGCCCATAGGCCATACCTGAACACGCACCAACAATCTGTTTAGATTGGCTGCTCTCGGCAATAACTACAGCTTGAGGGTCTAATGCCATCCAGGAAAAAAGTTCATCCTCAAAGCTTACGTAGCGACCAATGATTCGAACTAGCTCAAGGATACTTGGAATATCTGAGAAGTCAGCATTACGGACAGAAATTTCAGGCATTGCGATTGCTTGTTTCAAGAACCTATGGAAGAAAAAAGTAGATAAAATAAGATACATATATTTATTAGAAAGATCATTCTCTAGTATATATTTAACTGGTTTTGCGTCTTTCAAAACCTTATTATTCGAGATTAAAGAATTACATAGTTTTAAGCTATTAGGAATTTTGAAAAGCCCGGTAATGAGAGCAGTAACAATCAAAATTCCAAATCCATTATAATTTTTTTTCCAATATATGTAACAACAAGTATTCTTTACGTAACGTTTCATAACGTAATGTTAAAAGATTATATTATGAAAGCAAATCAAATATGTTATCTGAAAAATAGTTATGACTACGTATGCTTAATCGTATTCATTGTGGACTGATAAAAGAATTACATTCATGATATGAACAAAGAAAGAAATGTAAGTAAAAATCAAACATAAACGAGAGATTTTGAATTAGGAAAAGAATAGATAAGAATAATTAGTTTTCATTAAAAACTATCAACTGAATTTAGAAAAACTCTCTACATCACAGAAAAGACCAAAGGATTATGCACCAGTACTTAGTATATACAGCGTTAGAAACATCTTGTAGAAATAAAAATAACGCTGTAAGTATTTCAGTAATATAGCAGTTCGATATAAAATATAAAATAAATAGCTAAATTAATAAGAAATGCAGTTATTGCTCCTAAATTGCTCAGTTTCTTAGGCATTTACATATTTTTTAAATTTGAAAGGTAAATCAAATATCTTACCTTTTGATGAATGGCAATATTGTGTGAACGGTTATAAATAAACAGAACCTATTAAGTGTGAGGTCGCTTAGCAGATAAATTAAAGGCCTTATATTTTGTGTCGTGGCAAAGCTTACCAAGCGAAAGAATTATAGGCACGTAGTAGTTTAACTTAACATAACGTATCATTAAGTAATGGTATAGGTATAGGTAAGTAATATCTAGCATTAAGTAATATTATAGGTATGGGGAACACCAGCAATGTACCCTAGTTCAACTGGCAGTGCCTTTCCATACTAACTAACCATTAAAAAAATAATAATAATAAACTGCAAGCTTTATAAGAATTTATAAAGAAAGGTTAAGGATTTAAGGCGCAATTGAAGCTTTTCGAAGGATCTAGATTTTACTTGTTATGGTACATCGTGCAATCCCAATTAAAAGGCGGGAGAAATACCTCGTAATGTTAAATATACGACTTTAAAAATGAGTTCTAATATTTCCCATTAACTTTAGAGCGATATTAATAGCTATGACTATATCTCAATTTGTCTCAATGAAACAACTCACGTAAAGTCATTTACCAGATTAGTAACTATTTCACGTTTCCTGAAAGAGAATGTAATGTACGAGGAACTTAAAATTAGCAAATATACCGGAAAGAACGAAAAGTATTTATATTTATGAAATTGCAGTCAATGAACTAAAAATATTTAATAGAGATTTTAAAAAAATATTGTCATTAGGAAAGAAAAGAGCTCTTGGTATGATTGGGCCAGAGATAGGTTTTGTTTAATAATTTCAAAATAAAGTTATTCAATTGCAATTTTTAGTTATTATTGCATTATTCACCAGCAAGTGCTATGTGCTAAACTCGGAACTAGCGATTTCAAAGAAATATCAGGAAGACTTAATCGAATCATAAATTTTATAGTTGCACGTGACATGCATAAAACACTTTTAATGATATTTTAAATGATCAAAAAACTTTTAAATGATGCTAACTGTGAATACGATAATCTATTAATGAATCATAACGTGCCTTACTAAGCCAGATTATATCTTTAGAAACATTTGCGATATGCATGGAAGAAATACGGCCTTTTTTACTGAAGAAATACGGCCTTTTTTGTACGAAGTAAAATGGAAGTATTGTAACGGCGAAAAATTTCGGGCATCATATTTCAACGCAAATATTAATTTTCACCGCTATCAAAAGCAATTTAACGATCATTTTGCCTGATATCTGTACGTAAGGACAGAATAAAGGACTCTTCCCCCCCAAAAAAAAATTGTAAAACTAATTTAAAATGAATTCTGCTATACAGTATCTGATGGAAATTGCCGAAATTCAGGATTAAGGGACTTATCCAGAAGAATTCTTTTTCATTCTCATCTTTAACTCAGTTTTCAAGCAGCATCTAACGGGGTCAGTACTTGGGAGGGTGACCACCCATGTGACTGGCCTCAAAGAATCGCATCTTTTCACCATCACTCGACCGCTCGTCGGCTAACTCCGTCCACCTCACTTTTCCGCGCAGCCCAGTTGCTTTCTAAATTTTACATCTTTCCAAGTATCGTACCAAAAGTACAAGTACCAGCTTCACCTTTTTAGGTGTGGATGTATCTCCTTCGTATTTTTGTTTGCCAAGCCCTATGGGCAATATCCAAGATAGACAGTAAAAGTCGGAGACCGACTAAAGGCTGCCCAAGCCAGCATCATTAGATTAGATTACATTAGTTATGAATGAAATGTAACGCTGTTAAGTGAACCAAGGGCCAGAGGGTCGCTATGGTAACAAATATAGAATTTTAAAGAGTCATTAGTCTATTGTGGTTTACGGTATCGACAAGGTAGATTTAATTCAATCTAATAAGTTTAAATGAAATCCAATAAAAAAAATGAAAAAAAAAATGCGTACAATTTAATATTCCGTACAAAGAAGTCATGTGGTGCACACATCAGATTTTTTTAGATGGTTTGAACAAAGATGATTTTAAAGAACTGTTTAATGCAGAATACTTAACAAAATTATGTTTTTCACGGATTATAACATTACATTTAAATGAATTTCATACAGATTTACAAGGCCGTGGAAAAACAACTGCGATTATGTTTGGACTAGTAATTAGATATTTTTCTACAGATAGTGAATCTAAAAAACTTATCATCTTTCAATACTTAAAACCTTATTTGGATGAAATAACGGTCTTCAAAAAAACTGAATGGAATTTTAAATACGAACTTTTAAAAAGTCTGTATTCTATTAAAGAAAACATTTTCAAACAGATTTCAAGATTAGAAAAGGATTGAAAAGCTACTGAAAACTGTAGATTATCCGGACCTATTCGACATAAAGGATTTCGATAACAACCTTATTAATTAGACGGAATTAGAAAATTTAGAAATGCAGACTGTAGCCTATCTGGCAATGTAAGCCTATCCGTACACAAAAATTTGAAGATATGTGAAAATACATCGAAAAATTGGAGCGTTATCGAATTAAACTCAATACATCCCTCGTAGTAAAGAAAGCAAGATTGCGCCTGTCGTTTGCACCATACAAACATGGACCTTATAAGAAAGGTATATCTTATAAGGTCCATGCATACAAATGCCAGTACGACTTCACTCAGGTCCGCCCCAATTTTGTAGGGGGCGTGTCCAAGGTTCTCCCACCCCTCTTCCTCTCGAAAATTCCTCTCGAGAGGTTAATGGTAAATTAACCTCTCGAGAGGAATTTTGGCTCGCCGCATAGAGAGATTTGCCACATAGATATGCCACATAGACATTATAGGTTTACAAACATCCATGCCTTCTCCGGTATTCGAACCTGAGTTTTTCGGTATCGCAGTATCTTCCCTAACCACTATACCGTCTGGATAAGGATTCTTTTGTCCGCTTACTGTTGTGAAAGTCTTTTTCTGATCTAAATCATAGACTTTCAAGAAGTTGACAGAGGAAGATTCATCGACATATATTATCTTGCAGTCTACAACGTAGCAGCCTAATATTAAAAATCTTGCAAGGAATATGAAGTATAAAACTTCTAACAAATAGTAAGAATAGTTTATATCAATTAAAATTATTTATTAAAGTGTAATTATTTTTGTAACTTTTTTGTATTTAATATATGTTTATTATTTATCACAATAAAATTCATATTATAAAGACATGGCATAGAAACATGAGATACAGGCACTTGAACAAAATTTCATTCTAACTTACTTTAATTTTGGTACTTTGGTAAAATCCTCTTTGTCATCCCCCCTAAAGTATCCTCAAAGAAAGAAGTTACATAGCATTAGTTCTTGAGAGCTGAGGTGGAGAGATATTTTACAAAAGGTATAGACTGAAGTCGACTACATCTTAGAAGTGTGTTATCTTAGTAACGAGGTATACATAAAGCATTTGTAAAGTGGATGTAAAATTTGAATTTCCTTTCTTTTCATGTATCAGTTTTTATTGCATCTGCCTCTGTTCTGACTTTAGTTCTGCGCAAAAGGTGTCTCCCGCTTAACAAAAGAGCCAAAACCAAGCTCGCATGGGAATCTATATGAAATTGAGGATTATTTAGTAAAATCTTACAGGAAAATCAAAAGTGGGAAACGGCATTAAAACTACAGACTGTCTCACATGCTGTAAACTCTGAAAGGGTTCTCATTAGTTTTCCAAACAAAATTAGTTTCACTACAAAATCGCTTCCATACTTGACCGTAAATATGATAGTATCTGTAACAGCAGGCTACATAAGATAATGGAGGGGCTGTAAATCCACTGAATGAAAGATTCCATTACCTCTAAAACCCTTCTGAAAGCGATAAACCGCATATAATAGGCTTGCTTTATCACCATGATATCGGAATCAAGCACAATGATAAAAGCTAAAATAACATTTTATCATTTTTTGAAATAATGGCATCGAGATTACATTTTAACAAAAATATTAAGAAATATTAAATTAAAGAGACCTTTAAATACAATCAAGAGATCAAATAACATTTTACCTTTAAAACAGTAATCAGCTATCGAGACTTGATCGAAAACTCTCTTAAGATATGATTTTACAAATCTTACCTATTTTATCAAACTTGAACTACATGAACTTCGTACCACGCAGTGAAAATTCTAATGATGTGGCTCCATCTGTTACGTGCAATTTTTATTATTTGAAAATAATCGTTATTTTTAAGGTTTTTGTTAGGAAATTTGTTTTCTAAATTATTCGTGTTTAAATAAATGTTTATTTTATTGCTTTTACTTTTCATTCAGGCCTAAAATTATAGAATATTTCCTTCGCAGAAGAAAATAATAATTGTAAATAAAATATAAAGGCTTTAATAAGAAGTTTAATATTCTTTACCGAAGACTAGCTATAGTAGAAAAGGTTCTTTTTTTCTTTATCAACGGCCATCTGTTGTAAAAAAGATTACTTTTCTTCATTTTTATCAATTCTAAATATTGCTTATGTGTATTTAAATTATTACTACTTTCGTAAGGCATTCCATATCATCTAGTGTTCTCACGTGAACTTTACGTTGGCTATAGATCGCGGATTTTCTATTTAATATTAAATTCGAAATTTTTTGGGGGGCAGAAGGCCTGTTCACAACTAGGGAACGATTTAAGTAGGGTGTGTTTGTGAAAGAGGGCTGGAAGCTTTTGCTAATTTGTATTTCGCGTTCTCAAAACTACTAATTAGAAAAAGAGGGGATATATATTAAAAAATTGAATATATGTGTTCTTTGCTTTAATAAAACAATTAAGCGAAACCTTATTTAAAGCAATGAACATATGCATCAGTCAACAGGTATTCTTTTTTGTTCGATAATATTTTTTGTTTGTTTGTTTTTTGTTCTTTTCTGCTTGAATCGATAAACGTTGCTCTTTCGAAGCCTCGCCTCTAAAAGTGTCACCATTTACGCATGATACTGCGAATCTATGGAATCCAATGCGAAAATATTAAATGCATGATCATTAATAATCGCCATCTATGGAAACCATTTTCAAAATATTAAGTGGCATAATCATTAATAATGGCAAATAATTGAGACCTCAGTGGCTTGTCTAGAGATTTTCCTGCTGGACACTGTCCGTTTACTACCCTTCTCAGTACACATACAAAAAAAAAAAAAAATCTATGAAATAGCAAAACGCCATAAATATAAAATAAATAAAAGATCTGTGTTTATTTTTGAAGTACAATTTTAGTTCCAAAAATTCTTAAATACTATTTTGCTTGATTTCTCTTAGATTGTCGATGATATTCTAGAAGTTTATAAAATTACGTCATTCCTTTTCCGTTGAAGTACAGTAAAATAATTTGAATGCAAGGTATTCATTTTTAGATCTTGGGTGCTTTTTATTGTCACATAGAAGCACTTTTTTATTAATATTGCTCTACAAAATTCTACAGAGATTGACTTTGAAGAAGATTACATCTAAAGATATGTAACAGCTCATTCTAAAAAGATTCTTAGCGTCGATCGAGCGAGCTGGAACTCTATCAGAGTCTCAGAAAAAATCTCAGTGAGAAATTTTTTTTTTTTTTTTTTTTTTTTTTTTTTCTTTCTCTTCTTTGAACGATGCCCTGTGAGGCATCATTCAAATGGAACTCTCTACCTTTAGAGTTTGGGATACGATCTAGTCTAAGAATTGGATAGACTCTATTCTAAGAACTGGTATTCTTCCAATGGAAGGTAGCAAGATTCTAAAGGTAAAGAGTTCCTTTATGAATAATGCCCTAAAGGACATCGTTCAAAAGAAAGAACAAGGAAGATTTTTTTTTTCTTTTTCTTTTTTTTTTCTTTTTAACTTTCTCAGTGAGATTCTCTCTAAGACTCGGAGAGAGTTTCCAGCCGACTCGATAAGACATCAACATATTTTGAAAATCATCCATTTATATCTATATAAATTTCCTGTATTTTAAATGATTTTTCTCCTTGAAATGTACATTTTATGATTCCATTTTGTAATTTTCTTCAATTTGCGTTCTACCAGTTATAATGTAACCCGCAGAAATTAGGTTGGACCTAATAAATTTTAAGTACGAAATTTCATTCTTTTTCATTCCGATATTTTATTTTTTTATTTATATATATATATGTAATCTTCTGCTTCTCTCGCTGTATTCTTCTTGAAAGACCATGACAATGGAAGATGTGCTTACCGAAACAAAATTTACACCTCTTCGCTCTACCAAACATGCTACTGAATGGATCCGAACCCCATTTCTTCCAAATTTGAACGCGTTACAAGAACGTGTGGTAATGTCCTTCAGAAATGCTTCTATCTCTTTCGGCTTAAATGCGTTTACGATGTTGAAGAAACGACTTATTACTTGTTCGCTTTGCTTTCTAGTGACATTGGAAGACTTGATGAAATCTAAAAAGCCCATAATGAGGGAGTCTCTCAGACCTCATAGATAATCTCAGGGAAACTATATACTATTATAATACTAAACCTCATCTTCTTACCTTTCTGCCTTTTTGAAGACTCACCTTAATATGTCTTTTTGTGCCTTACCCATCCAATCTTTAACAATGTTATTTATGCAAAATTGCAGTAATGAGATACGGTCAATGGAAATCCTTCAAGCAGACCATTTTTTTACGTTCGTAATTTACAAACATTAGAAGAAATATGATACTAAATATATGCAGATTTTACCAAAAATGCTCCTGTAAACGCAGTAGTACATTTAATAATAATGTAGTTGATTTACTTTTTTTAAAAATTTTTTATTTATTTATTTATTTATTTATTTTTCCTAAAAACGCGTTAAAACGTATTAAAAAGTACAGAGGATTTACCTGAAGTTTTTCCAAAATTATATGGAAAATAGAAATAGCATATATTACTTAGCATAGAAACGCAAATTTCTATGCTAAGTAAAAATATTGCGCATATTTACGCAAATTTTCATTAAAAATATACGAAGCAAACAATTGGGAAGTTTTACGTATATGCATAAATATACATAACTTTTTTGAAAAAGATATAAGTAAATCCTTGAAATTTGCGCATATTTTGTGAAAAAGCTGTGAATAAAGCGCATTCACATGAATGTCCCTAAATTTGACGTATATCTTACGTATATTGTAACATAAAAATATACGTAAGTAACTGTTATTTTTTCCCGGACATCTTTTTATGTATATTTTTACGTTCAACATGTACGCTTTTTTGTACCAAGGGACATTTCGCGTGCAGTTTACGAATGCGTCCTGCCTGGGATGTAAAGGGTGTCTCAAAATTAACGCAAGATTTGAATTCGGCGTCATTTTTGCATTAAGTTTGTGGCACCCCTGCCCAAAGAACGTTTGAAAGCCGCGCGTTTGGGTAGTGCAACTGGAGCGTTCTGCCCGTGCTCTATTACACAAATTTTAAATTGAAGTTTGGCGACACGTCTAAATTTTATCCTCCATCTGGTAAAATGTGTTTTACGTCGTCATGTGAAAAGAGGAATTGAAATATTCTGGAGATGGCTACGTTGAGCCTCACTGCTACCGGTCGTCAAACACAAGCGTTCAAGTGTCCATATTGACGCGTGCGTGACTGTGGGCAACCCAGGCCATCAATTCCGGTGTGGCCACGAATTGATATTCACGCTCTCTACAGCATATACTCACAAAAGATTCTGTTCCATGCTGACAAAATCAATTCAACACAGCCCACCAGTGCGAGCGGTAAAGCGCTGAACACTGTAGTTCGGTCGAGGTTCAAATCCCGCGAACGGGCTGGCTGCATGGGTTTTCGTGGTTTTTTTTCCCCATGTGTAACGTGTATACGAGCCAGTTTCCCTTAGAAAGTCCTCCACGAAGGCATCCCTCCCCTTAGGCAGATAGCCCTCTAGCTTGCCATATCCACCCACCCTTACCCCACACTGAAGCCTCCTGACCTTGAACATCGAGCGAGTCGTGGCCGGGCTTATACTCTCCAAAGTGGATGCTGTTTGTCGAGCCCCTATCTAAGCGATGAAGCACCTCACCCGCGTCTTGTTAATCGCCAATTGCCGTGTTTGGGGTTTGTGAACCCCCGTCTGATTAGCGAAACCAACGACAAAATGCACCTACGTATACTGTTTGGTGCGGATTTGGGGCAGGAGGACCTGACCAGACTTTTTGAGCATGAGGCTGCTCTCTCACTCACATCCAGACAGCCAAAGAAAATTAATTACTGCATGAACATTCCTGATCTTTGTATCTCTCGTTTCGGTGATCAGATTGGCCCCCTAGATCAGTATTTAACACCTGAGATGCTTTATGGGTTATTGCAGTTTCAAAGGTCCCTTCCCCCCCTACCGTGCTACCAGGCCATTACCCGCTGCTCCCTTGCTCGCGCACTAGGCAGAAAGGTCCTGAAAATTTGACGGAAGGGTGACAGCAAGCGTGGGGCCTTTGCTCGATGTGTATTCTCCATCCCCGCTCCTATGTACGTTATACTCCTACAAATAAATATTAAGCTAACAACCTCTTCTTTTTGAATTCAAATCTTGCGTTAATTTTGGGACACCCTTTATAAAGTCACTTACTTAAGAACTATCACTGCATCTAAGGCGCCAGGAATAAACCAACACTAAATAATTCCATTCGATAATGACTGAACTTGCAGCAAAAGCTGGAAAACAGATTTTTCCTACCTAATATCCCATCTTGCAGTTGTGTTCCGATAGGGGCTTGTC